TTTGGTCATCGCATTGTCCGGAGAGTGGTGCTGTGGGGAGGCTTCATTGTTACTCGTTGAAGCTGAGTGAACTCCATGAGATGGGATGAATGTAACAAGTTGTCGAGCTTCCCTCTGATCTCCGAAGTTGGTCCCTTCTCCCCGGGTTGTCGGGAACTTTAACGCGTAGTGAAAGATAGAGACTGCAGCCCGAAGTTTGTACAATGCCATTCTGCCGATGATGGCGTTGTACTCGTTATTAATATCCATAACCTTAAAAGTCTCCATGACGAGTTTGGTGACATTCTCCGAGGTGCCAAATCTGGCAGGCAAAGTGATTTCCCCGAGGGGTTTTGAAATACTGCCATTAAACCCCTGGATTTGATCGTTGCAAGGTCGGATTTCGGCGGGGTCAAGACCCATCTTGTCAAAAGCTTTCAGCATCAAAATACTTGAATAGGCCCCAGTGTCCACCATGACACGATGAACCGGAATACCGCATATTGGAACGGTAATGACCAGGGCGTCAGAATGAGGATGAGCGAAATGATTCGCGTCCTCCATATTGAAGGTTATAGGGCAATTCCGATTGTTGAGAACATCTCTCAAATCGGTGGTGTAAACCTGTTTACCGGAGTTGTGAGCTTGTCGGGCATACGCCTTGACCTGTCGGCGAGACAATGTACTCCGGGAGTTGTTGGTATTGACCCGATGGACAGTGATTTGCATTGGTTCAGGAGACCTATCTCGTTTACGTCCTCGGGAAATTTCAGCAGGGTTAGAATCGGAAGTCTCCGAGGTAAACATGAATACTTCCTTATCTCCCTGCCGAATGCGTTTTGTCATTGCACTTCGGTCTTCCTCGTCGTCTTCATCATCGAAGGATTCGATCTGACGTCCAGGACCTCGCCTCTGGGAATCAGTATTACGATAAAATTTCCTAAGCTGCGGATGGCCGATTAAACGCAACAATGCGGCCAACAAACTCAAACACTTGTCCGTGTTGTGCCCGGGCGACTTGTGATAATCGCAATATCGGGACTTGTCTAGTTTTTCTTCAGGCATCCGAAGTGGCTTGGGATCTGGCAAAATGCCCTTCCCTTTGATTTCTTCATAAATAGTAGCTGCTCCTGCCGAGTACACAGTTTGATAACCGGACTTCACGTCGGTCGCGTACTGTTTTCGGGCC